AAAAAGAACTCTATTCCTCAGGAAGGATTAGCACACACTGAGTTTCCTAAGAATAACTGTGCAACAAGGATTATATAAGAAGCCATCATGTCATTCTATTACATAGTGTATAACTAAAATGATAAAATTTTGCCTGGCAAAATAATTTTATTTACCTAAGCAGAGGATATATATCTAAAGCTGAGGACAAATGGAGTGGAGCTACTGCTTCCCTAGTTCTGTATAACATGACCATCTGGGGACAGCAGGTGAACGCAAACTACAGAGTAAGAAACATGCAGGTGAGAAGAGCCAAGGAAACAAGCACTGGCATGTCAACTTTGCAACATTAGGCAGGTAGAAGGCCCATCCGCACTGCAGGGTCCACCTACACCCCTAAAGCGCAACTCCAGGCTGCTGCACAGTGACAACATCCCTTCTTATTTTATTTCTCACTGCACGATCAGCCTAGCAAAGGCCTGGCCATGGCCTTCAACACAACATCATGAGCTCAGAACACTGTGGAAAAAAGAATCTAAAAGCTTCCAGGGAAAAAAAAAAAAAAAAAAAAAAAAGCACATTATATTAACAGGATCAGGAATCAAAATGTCATGTGAATTCTCAATAGCAATAATAGATGCTACAAAATAATCAATGTAATTTCCAGGCTGGGAGAAATTCCATCCTAGAATCTTATATCCAGCTAAAAAACAAGTAGGCAGGGGCTTAGGAAAAAGACAGTTTCAGACATACAAGTTCTCAAAAAATTTACCTCTCATGTGCCCTTTCTCAAAAAGCTACCAGGAGGAAAATGAAAAAGAAAAAAGATATGTGGTCTAATAGCAAGCGACAGGCAAAGAGAATTCTCATCATGATCGTAAAGTGAAAATCCCAGAATGATGACTGTAAAGCTAAACTAGAGAGCAGCCACTCAGATTAGAATTGTTACCGCAGAGATCATGGAGAAGAGAGAGAGGAGGGTGGGGAGGGGGAGCAGGAGGACTCGATAGATTACCTAGTGTAGTCCATTTGCTGAATGAGTTCTCTGGCTCTACTGAGGCTGAATTGGTCAGCTAATTATAAACTAAATAAATCACAAAAAGGCAGTTATTATCCTAAGAAAAAACCTAAGTAGAAAAAGGGAAAATTTAAACATATCAAAATGGGTCAACTATACACATTTAAATAGTAAATATAAATGATGAAGATCAATTCAACCCACATGTTGATGTAATTATACAGGGAAGATGGGGGAAGGGAAGTTTTTGGGAAGGTCTGGTGTCAGGGGTTGGCAAAGGGCAGTAAGAGAGCTAAACCTTCACCCTCTGGGTGGAAAGTAAATAAATAAAGCCTAAAATTGAGAAAATAATATCAAGTAAAATGGCATGAGCATGTTATCTGCTAGAAGAAAGAGCTGATATAATTTAAAGTGGCCAGTTACCTCTGGTAAGGAGAAATCAAGGATGAGGGAAGTGGAGCAGAGACTGCCATTTCATTTAAGTCCTATAGCTCTAATTTACTTTTTAAACTATGAGAGCTGTCCCTTCAATAATTTAATTTTTAAAAGAAGAAGATAGATCAAGAAACTAGGCTCTTGATGAGAGGGGATGTATGATTTCAAAATCATAGAACATGAAAAAGTGGCACAATGTGATTTCAAGGGTGTGTCACTGGCACAGAGTAGACCTACCGATTAGTTCATCCATCCTTCCACTTCAAACACTCCAAACCCCCTTCCCAGTCACTCTTGCTGTGTCGCAGCTTGGGGACAATAGTTCTGTTTTATTTTTCCTCTTCTGGCTTATAAATACTAAAAGTTTTAATTTTAAAATTAATCCAGGCTGGCACAGTGGCTCATGCCTATAATCCCAGCACTTTGGGAGGCTGAGGCCGGTAGATTGTTTGAGCTCAGGAGTTTGAGACCAGCCTCAGCAACATGATGAAAAAATTACACCTCTACAAAAAATACAAAAAATTAGCCAGGAGTAATGGCGTACATCTGTAGTCCCAGCTATCTGGGAGGCTGAGGTAGGAGAATTGCTTGAGCACAGGAAGCAGAAGTTGCAGTGAGCCGAGAAGGCGCCACTGCACCCCAGCCTGGGCAACAGAGCCAGACCACGTCTCAAAAAAAAAAAGAAAACAATTACTCCTAAGGAAGCCTAGGTTGCCACAGCTCACACGTGTAATACCAACACATTGGGAGGACAAGATGGAAGAATCTCTTGAGGTCAGGAAAGCAAGAACAGCCTGAGAAACACAGTAAGACCTTGTCTCTACAAAAATATTTTTTCTTAAAATTAGCCAGGCATGGCACTGCTCATGTGTAGTCCTAGCTACTCAGGAGCCTGGAGTGGGAAGATTGTTTAAGCCGGGAGTTGGAGGCTGCAGTAAGCTATGATGGTGCCACTGTACTCCAGGCTGGGCAACACAGGAAGACACTCTCTCAATCTATCAATCAATCAATCAATCAAATTACTTCTATGGAAGACATTATTATCTTATTTTTTATTTCTTATTTCTGCTCTTAAAGGTATAAAGATGCACACAAAAGTCCCTGTCACCAAGGAAATGCACATGGAAGGAAAAGTACAGCACAGAAGATGTTCTTAAGCTGAAATGAATGAGAAGAATTTTATCATATAAGCGAATTCAAGAATGGCACCAGATTTAAAATAGGTTTATGACCAAAACACATGAGCAATACCAGTAAACTATTATAAATTTCCATGACAACAGAAATGATCCCAGATCATCTTTCCAGAGAGAGAGCCAAGTCCATTCCCCACAGAGATGGCATATGCTAAGAGCTGGAATACCTTTCAAGCTTTGCAAATTAGCCCTGGCTGTCATGGGTATCATTATTCACTCTCCCATTCGGCATAAATGTGTCTTCTCTTTGCCAAGCATTCCCATCGCTCCTTCCTATGCCATGGTTAGATACAGACCTGGTGGTACTGTTTCCCTGTATAAAACTGAAGATACATCAAATGGAAAAAATGTGCCCATGTAAGAATTTGAAAGATACCAGTTGCCCTACTCTAAAAAAGACCTATCAAATTTAGAAGTGTGCCACCTTAATCTTCAATCAAAGAAAAATTTAAAACTGCAATCTAGCAAACTAGTTTTCCTGAATGTTTTTCTCGTTTTAATGCAAAAAAAATTCTTTTGTCAAAAACAATTTTCTATAGACTTTGTTTTTTAAGTGAAATAATCTAAAGAATGCTTTTGGCTGGGCGTGGTGGCTCATGTCTGTAATCCCAGCACTTTGGGAGGTGAAGGTGGGCAGATCATGAGGTCAGGAATTCAAAACCAGCCTGGTCAACATGGTGAAACCCCGTCTTACTAAAAATACAAAACAATTAGCTGGGCATGTAATCCCAGCTACTTGCGGGGCTGAGGAAGGAGAACTGTTTGAACCCAGGAGGTGGAGGTTGTAGTGACCCGAGATTGCTCCACTGCACTCCACCCTGGGCAACAGAGCGAGACTCTGTTTTAAAAAAAAAAAAAAAAAAAAAAAAAAAAGAATGCTTTCAAAAGGTAAATTTTATACAGCTTAGTCATGGAAAGAATAGATCACCCAGGTGGCAATGGTAAATACAATAACTTTCCAGGTTAAAAAAAAAGGTTTAATTATATACTGTGTAATAGAATGATGTGGTGGCTTCTTACATAGTCCTTGTTGTCCATTTGTTTTTCAGAAACTCAATGTGTACTAATCCTTCCTGGGAAACAGACTTCTAATTTCAAATCTATTCATCAACCAGGATAGTTATATCACAACAGAGAGGTGATAAGTGAATGATGACGTGTTCACTTTCATATGCTGAGTTCTTCCAGCTAAGGCTTTTTAATGTCAGTACTAGCAGTAAACTCTGCGTCACTACTAATCACTCTCTTGGCAATGTCATTACCCTGGCATTGAAAATGACATTCAAAAGACAACAAAAGGGAGCTTCTTCCCAAAATGCAATCTAAGAACAATACAAGATGTACAGCCAATCCTTCAGTATCCATGGGAAATTGGTTCCAGGATGCCCCAATATCAAAATCTGCTGATGCTCAAGTCCCTTATATAAAATGGGGTAGTATTTGCATATAACCTGTGCATATCCTCCTGTAAGCTTTAAATTACATGTAAATTACTTATAATACCTAAACAAGGTAAATGGTTTATAGTTGTTGTATTGGTTTTTCATTTTTATTACTTTTTATTGTTGTGTTGTTATTTTATTGTGGGGTTTTTTTTTCCAAGTTTTTTAATCCACGGTTGGCTAAAGCAGCAGATGTGAAACCAGAGAATATAGTGAGCCCACTATATATTTTAGTCAATGAAAGTGGATTAAAGTGTCTCATTCATGCTGCTAATGTGCCTGTCTTTGAAACGAGGAATGAAAACTCTTCTATGCTATTTTTTAATATGTAAAAAAAAAAGTATCCATGGACTGGTTTTGGTGCATTCAGCAGTATTTTAAATACATAAAATATTTTTTTAAAAACCTTTCCATCACAATCTCTGGCCCTACAGTTTCACTGATACTCATTTCTTCACTCAATAGTGAACAGGTGTCTTCATACTTACTATGTGCCAGGAACAGTGTCGTTACTATAAAGACAAATACAAATACCTGCTGGGAAGTCACAATCTAGTGACAGAAACATGATTAACAAGAGAAAGTAGTGGTAATTTTAGAGACATAGACAAAGGGCTCCAGGGACAAGCACCCCTGAGACAACAAGGCTAAACCCCATAGCACAGATAACAAGTCCTTTCAAAGTTCACATCCCCACTAGTGCCATCAGTTCCCACAGAGGGGAGTATGTTTTCCTTCCATGCAGGGATTTAGGCCATGGCTAAATAACCATCTGGCAGACATGCTGGAGGTGGGGATTCCCCCCAAGTGAGAGGCTGGATTAAGTGTCCTTTAAAGCCCCTTCCAACTCTAAAATTGTATAATTCCATGAGATCAGCAAAGGCTAAAACAGTACTAGGAGGCTTTAGAAAGGAAGGGAAACTTGAACTAAGCCCAAAATTATAGTCAGGACCTAAATAAACATAAGACAGAGCAAAAGATCCCTCATTTTGTTCCTTTTCATTAAACGTATGCCAGGTCTGTCTGCAAAGCTTAATGGGATTAATGACTGGCACAATCAGGAAGATTTCTATAGCTACTGAATACTGGGAAATATAGCAAGAATTCTACATTTTACTAGAAAATAGTAACAGTAGGCTTTTCTGATCTCACATATAAGAAAATCCTTTTAACAAAACATTAACAATGCTATTAAAAATACTGACAGGACTACTGCACTATACTCCCAATAATCACATAATTATACTTAATGAAATATAGAGCACACAAGAAGATCTGGCATGAGTTTATTATTTGATAAAGAAGTTAAACAGCCTGGCCCTGAAACTTTGACTATGTTTCTCATGAACTTTAAACAAACTTAAGAGTTGATTTTCCACTTCAAGTAATTCTCTGCCCTTTTCTGCCCCCATACCTGTCCTATCACTTGTGCTCCACTTCTTAGTCAAGGCGTCTTCACTTTGCAATACCAGGACATACACAGGGGCCCAGAAGAAAGGTAAGTTAGTCAAGAACATATTTAAAAAGACAAGAACTAAAATATCTTTTTCTTTTTTTGGAGATGGAGTCTTGCTCTGTCGCCAGGCTGAAGTGCAGTGGCACAAACTCGGATCACTACAAACTTCACACCTCCCGGGTTCATACAATTCTCCTGCCTCAGCCTCCGAAGTAGCTGGGACTACAGGCGCATGCCGCCATGCCTGGCTAATTTTTGTATTTTCAGTAAAGACAGGGTTTCACCATGTTGGCCAGGATGGTCTCGATCTCCTGATGTCGTGATCCGCCTGACTCAGCCTCCCAAAGTGCTGGGATTACAGGCATGAGCCATTGCGCCCGGCCTTAAAAAGCTAAGAACTAAAATATCTTTTAAAGATTCTCCAGTATTCACAGGAATACATAGTCCTGACAACATACCATGTCTAGAGGTCACCATATTCATTAAAATGTTAACTCGATGTTGAGATTCAAATATCCTCAGTCTATTAAACCAAAGGCTAGCATTTTTACTGAGTGTTTCAGTGCATCAAAATTTTACTGAGTGTTTTAGTCCATCATCACTGCCAGGTGCAGTGGCTCATGCCTGTAATCCCCACACTTTGGAGGCTAAGGTGGATCACCTGAGGTCAGGAGTCCGAGACCAGCATGGCCAACACAGCCAAACCCTGCCTCTACTAAAAATACAAAACTTAGCCGGGCATGGTAGTGCACGCCTGTAATCCCAACCCTCTGCCTCCCGGGTTCAAGCGATTCTCCCACCGGGAGGTTGAGGTGGGAGAATTTGCTTGAACCCAGGATGCGGAGGTTACAGTAAGCCGAGATCACTCTACCACACTGCAGCCAGGGTAACAGAGCAAGACTCCGTCTCAGAAAAAAAAAAGAAAAAAAAATCGTGATGGAAATTTAACTACACATACAAAAATGAGTGTGCTGGAGAAGAACTGGAGGAATGTACCAGCAAGGTGACAGCCCTAGAGCCAAGAGAGTAAGACAGAGCCTCCCCAACTGATGTTAAGTTCAGAAATAAGAGGCAGGTCAATGAATCTGTGTTAAGCAGAAATGCTACAATTTTAGTTCTATTATTAGCATGAGTTAATTCAAAAACCATTGGTTCAATTCCTAACTTACCCCTTTTTCTGAGAGGTTCAGAGTAAGCAAGTGCAAGGTCCTAGTGTGGGATGACTTCCAGTCTACAGGCATCACATTTCCATAATTATCTGTCAGGGCATTCCAAATCCTTAAAAAGAAGAAAACTATAATCAATGAAAATTAATACTCTATATGTCTTTCTTAAACAAATGTTTAGTGAAAGATGATCACCAAATGTCAAAGGAGAAAAACAAAAAGCACATTGTCTCAAAAAACATCAACAAAGTAGAGTCTCCTAAACAAAACTAAGTGAAAAATCACATAACTGGGCTGATAAGAAGTCCTAAGGGAAGGTGAAGGTGTACAGAAAACCCCCAAAGTCAATAGGCAACATTTCCATTGTATTAGGTGCTAGGCACCTTCTAAGCAATTTATATGTATTAACTCATTTAATCTTGAAAAACAACATTAGAAGGGGAAAACATTATTATTCCCATTTTACAGATGAAGAAACTGAAACACAGGGAGGGTAAGAAATGTTTCCAGGGTCACATGAGTAATAAAAACAACTGTGTATTACACTTACTTTTCTTCTGTAACTTCAAACACACAGACCATTTCAAAAAGTGAAAAATTCCTCTCTAACCAAAGGTTTGTTATCCTTTCTGGGGAAAGAATTTGCTCTCAATGTGAGAACAGGATTTAATATCTAATTTGTAATAAAGAAGCAAAGACTAAGGCAGATAAAATGAAAAGGAGAAAGACAGGGAGTTCACAATAAAATGCACACAGGCTCTATCCAATACAGTTACCCGATCTTATTACCCACCAGCATTATGGGGAGGCAAGAGGGTAAAACGGAAAGGGCATTTGAATAAGACCAGGGAAACAAACTCTCATCTCCATCCTTCTTCAAACGAGCCACTGGCCAAGCCCCTTAATCTCTTTAGGTATCCACTACCCTTCTATAAATGAGAGCTGGATAAGAAACAGACACTCCTGGCCGGGCGCAGTGGCTCAAGCCTGTAATCCCAGCACTTTGGGAGGCCGAGGCGGGTGGATCACGAGGTCAAGAGATCGAGACCATCCTGGTCAACATGGTGAAACTCCGTCTCTACTAAAAATACAAAAAATTAGCTGGGCATGGTGGTACGTGCCTGTAATCCCAGCTACTCAGGAGGCTGAGGCAGGAGAATTGCCTGAACCCAGGAGGCGGAGGTTGCGGTGAGCCGAGATCGCGCCATTGCACTCCAGCCTGGGTAACGTGAGTGAAATTCCGTCTCAAAAAAAAAAAAAAAAAAAAAAAAAAAAAAAACAGACACTCCTTCCAGCTCCATTATTCTAAGCATTAATTCAAATGAGATGTATTTAAGAGAATCCCAAACCACACCAGATAAGAACACCAAACTCAAATTTCATGACCAAAATTCAGGTTTCAATACCAAAGTAATAATCAGTGCAATAAAACATGTTTTATGAAAAACCAGAGTTCAGAGACACAAGTGAGTTGAAATCTAAATGGGATAGGTCAAACACTAAACATATTAGCTACTTACTAGCTAGAGGTATACACAAAGATGTCATGTAAAAAAATGTATATTAGGTATATAATTGTGAATAAACAACAGGCTTTCTTTCCAAGTGTGTAAGGCACTAGGATACAAAAATAATTCTGGTTGGGGCATAAACAAAAGAATGAATTTTTTTTAAGTTCCAGGGTACATGTGAAGAAGGTGCACATTTGTTATATAGGCAAACATATGCCATGGTGATTTGCTGCACCTATCAACCCATCACCTAGGTATTAAGCTCAAGAATGAAAATTTTAAAATAGAGATATAGCATAGTTCACAAATAGACATTAGGCGCTAAAAAGAAGCAGCAATAGGACTGCAACTGCTAAAAGCATAACATCCCAAATGATGTTTGGCTTTAAAATACACATTAGGGACGGGCCTGTAATCCCAGCACTTTGGGAATCCAAAGTGGGAGGACTGCTTGAAGCCAGGAGTTAAAGGCCAGCATGGGCAACAAAAGGGAGACCCGAATCTCTACCAAAAAAAAAAAAAAATTTAATTCACAGTCCCAGCTACTTAGGAGGCTAACACAGGAGGGCTGCTTAAGCCTGGGTGACAGAGCAAGACCCTGCCTCTAAAAATGTATAAATGAAATAAAAAAATAAAATGAGCCTCAATAAAAATGTAAACCCAAAAAGCTCTCAAGAACTAATTCATCGGCCCAGCAAAACTCCCACAGGCATGGTCCATTCCTATGCTCCTCTCTGTTGGAATCATATCTCCTCTAATGCCAGTAAAGTAGAATTAGAGGCAATGTCTGTAGACTGCTAAACTTGCTGGGTTTCTGGCTCATACCTTCCTGGGTAAGAAATTTTCAAACACTGAGTGACTGATTATATTAGTTTATTTTCATGCAGCTGATAAAGACATACCTGAACCTGGGGGGCGAAAAAGGGGGTTTAATTGGACTTGCAGAGGTAAATGGCACTTCTTACATGGTGACAGCAAGAGAAAATGAGGAAGATGCAAAAGCAGAAACCCCTGATAAACCCATCAGATCTTGGGAGACTTATTCACTATCATGAGAATAGCACAGGAAAGTCCAGCCCCATGATTCCATTACCTCCCCCTAGGTCCCTCCCACAACATGTGGGGATTCTGGGAGATACAATTCAAGTTGAGATTAGAGTGGGGACACAGCCAAACCATATCATTCTGCCCCTGGCTCCTCCAAATATTGTATCCTCACATTTCAAAACCAATTATGCCTTCCCAACAGTCTCCCAAAGTCTTAACTCATTGCAGCCATTAACCCAAAAGTCTATAGCCCAAAGTCTCATCTGAGATAAGGCAAGACCCTTCTGCCTATAAGCCCATAAAACCAAAAGCAAGCTAGTTACTTCCTAGGTACAAGAGGGGTACAGGTATTAGGTAAATACGGCTGCTCCAAATGAGAGAAATTGGCCAAAACAAAGGGGTTACAGGGCCCATGCAAGTCTGAAATCCAGTGGGGCAGTCAAATTTTACAGCTCCCAAATGATCTCCTTTGACTCCAGGTCTCACATCCAGGTGACGCTGATGCAAAAGGTAGGTTCCCATGGTCTTAGGCAACTCTACCCCCACAGTTTTGCAAGGTACAGCCTCCCTCTCTGCTGCTGTCACAGGCTGGTGTTGAGTGTCTGTGGCTTTCCAGGTGCACGTGTAAGCTGTCAGTGGATCTACCATTCTGGGGTCTGGAGGACAGTGGCCCTCTTCTCACAGCTCCACAAAGCAGTGCCCCAGTAGGGACTCTACGTGGTGGCTCCAACCCCACATTTCCCTTCCGCGGTGCCCTAGCAGAGGTTCTCCACGAGGGCCCCACAACAAACTTTTGCCTGAGCATTCAGGCATTTCCACACATCTTCTGAAATCTAGGAGGTTCCCAAACCTCAATTCCTGACTTCTGTGCACCCGCAGGCTCAACACCACATGGAAGTTCCCAAGGCTTGGGGCTTGCACCCTCTGAAGCCATGGCCTGAGATGTACATTAGCCCCTTTTGGCCACAGCTGGAGCAGCTGGGACACAGGGCACCAAGTCTCTATACCGCACATAGCAGGTGGACTCTAGGCCCAGTCCACAAAACCACTTTTTCCTTTTTGGGTCTCCAGGCCTGTGACGGAAGGAGCTGCTGTGAAGGTCTCTGACATGGCCTGTTGACATTTTCCTCTTGGTTGTGGGGGCTAACATTAGGCTCCTTGCTACTTATGCAAGTTTCTGCAGCTGGCTTGAATTTCTCCCCAGAAAATGGGGGGTTTTTTCTATCATGTAGTCAGGCTGCAAATTTCCCAAACTTTTATGCTCTGCTTCCCTTATAAAACTGAATGCCTTTAATAGCATCCAAGTCATCTCTTGACTGCTTTACTGTTTTGAAATTTTTTCTTCAGATACCCTAACTCATCTTTCTCAGGTTCAAAGTTCCACAAATCTCTAGAGCAGGGACAAAATGCCACCAGTCTCTTTGCTAAAACACAGCAGGGGTCACCTTCACTCCAGTTCCCAACAACTTCCTCACCTTCACCAGAGACCACCACAGCCTGGATTTTATGATCCATACTGCTGTTGGCATTTTGGGAAAAGCCATTCAACAACGTCTTTAGGACGTTCTAAACTCTCTCACATTTTTCTGTCTTCTGAGCCCTTCAAACTGTTCCAATCTCTGCCTGTTACCCAGTCCCAAAGTTGCTTCCACATTTTCGGGTATCTTTTCAGCAATGCCCCACTCTCCTGGTACCAATTTACTGTATTAGTCCATTTTCATGCAGCTGATAAAGACTTACCTCAGACTAGGAAGAAAAAGAGGTTTAAATTGGACTTACAGTTCCACATGACTGGGGAGCCTCAGAATTACAGTGGAGGTGAAAGGCACTTCTTGCATGGTAGCAGCAAGAGAAAATGAGAAAGAAGCAAAAGCGGAAACCCCTGATAAGCCCATAAGATCTCGTAAGACTTCTCTATCATGAGAATAGTACAGGAAAGAAGTCCCCCTGGATCCCTCCCACAACACATGGGAATTCTGGGAGATACAATTCAAGTAGAGATTTGGGTGGGGACACAGCCAAACCATATCACTGACTATAGACCTAATCCTGGTCAGGAACTTGAGTAGGATACACTAGCAGGTGAAGACAGTCCAGGGTTTGAGGAGATTGCTTTGTCTGCTTATTTGCTCCTTCTTAAATGAGGCTATAAGAAAAACACAAGTGGAATGAAATATTTCACTTAGAAGTGCCTGTCGGTGACTTTGATCTTCCAAGAAAACGAAAGCCAATTAACAATCTCCACCAAGGTCAAAACAATGGTAGTTGGAAGGACATACAGGAAACTCTAGTGAAAGATGTCTAGAATTCTGCAGTTAAGACATATGAACTGCCTTCATCTTTATCATCAAGTATTACAACCCATCATAAACAGCGGGCAGGACAGCTCTTTTGCAAGGAAGTCAAAGTCCTGCCAACATTAAATCCTGCAGAATACTCTTCTAAAGTAAAACCTCAGTAAGTAAATACAATCCATATTTAACCAAAACTAAAGCTGAGGCTTACAGAAGTTAAGTGCCCCTAAAGTGGTCCCCGTTCTTTTTGATATCAGGGACTGGTTTCACAGAAGACAATTTTTCCATAGACCAGGGGTTGGGGGGATGGTTTTGGGCTGATTCAAGCATATTACAATTTACTGTGCACTTTATTTCTATTATTATTACACTATCATATATAATGAAATAATTATACAACTCACCATAATGTAGAAACATGGGAGCCCTGAGCTTGTTTTCCTGCAAAGAGATGATCCTATCTAAGGGTAAGGGGAGACAGTGACAGACCATCAGGCATTAGATTCTCATAAGGTATGTGCAAACTAGATCTCTCACAGGCGCAGTTCACAATAGGGTTTGCGCTCCTATGAGAATCTAATGCTCTGGCTGATCTGACAAGAGGCGGAGCTCAGGTGGTAACGCAAGCGACGGGGAGGAGCTGTAAATACAGATTAAATACAGATGAAGGTTTGCTCACTCACCCAGCCACTCACCTCCTGTTATGTGGCCCAGTTCCAGTACTGGTCTGGGGACTAGGGACCCCTGACCTAAAGCACAGCAATATCTGAGTAAAACAATTATCAATTCTATCTAGCGAAAAGGGAGCTGGAACAGACTATCAAGCAATGGTTGAGTATGTTTCCGTCATATAAAAGGGACAATGACAATGGTGACCAGCTCCCAAGTCCTGAAAAAAGAGAGATGTCTTATGCATTCTCAAGAAACATGCATTACCACCAACATAACATCTACTAAATACCACTAACAAGAGCAACAAAATATTTTTTTAAGTAAAGGCTAAAATAACCTACTTTCCTGTCAATCTGAGTAAAACAAAGACTCTTAACATTCTATGTACAATCCTCTAACTGATTTAAGTCAGTTACTCTTGATAAACCCAAATATATAATAAATCTACACTAATATTTAAATCCAGAACATGCCCTGGGTTTAGTGATTCAGAGTATCTAAATCTACATATACATAAAATTATCTTCTCTTTGGGAACAGACTTCCAGAAATGACATCTTTTGCTGCTGACTGCATGCATGTGTGTATAAAATCCATCACAAATTCTTCCCTCCTCTGCACCTAGGCAGAACAGTATTCAGAGCAACCAATGAAAGGAGATGGGTCTCCAAACTCGGGGGAGTTTGCAACACTGCTAGGCCATGTTTATAGAACCCACTCCCAAAGCTGTCTTTTCAAGCTTCCTACCTTATTCCTGATAAATCTGTTTCACAGAAGAAGGGAGACAATCAGGCTGGAAACTCCTTTCCATGCCCATGATTCCTGCCCTGTCTCTCAAAAATTCTTCCCTAACCTCTAAGAGTCTCTCCATCCCATCAATGCTCTGAAAATCCATTCCTTCCCATGTCCTCATTTTTGAGACAAAGTCTCGCTCTGTCACCCAGGCTAGAGTGCAGTGGTGAGATGACGGCTCACTGCAACTCTTGCCTCCCTGACTCACGCAATCCTCCCATCTCAGCCTCCTGAGCAGCTGGGTCCATGGGACCACAGGTATGCGCCACCACACTCCACTAATCTTTTAAAATTTTGTAAAGACCAGGTATCACTATATTGCCCAGTCTGGTCTCGAAGTGCTGGGCGCAAGCCATCCTCGCACCACCGCTTCCGAAAGCACTAGGATCACAGGTGTGAGTGAGCCACTGTGCCCAGTCTTATTCCACTCATTTTACCTTCAGCCTCTCCAGGGACTCCTCTCCCCCTATATACACAACATACTCAAGTCCCCTCACTCTCACCATTCCTATTTACCATCTTTTAGGGGTAAAACCGTGGTATATAATCACAACTCTTATTTAACCAAATTATACTTGCTGCTCAGGGTGGTTTAAAAAGTGCCCACAGGAACTCTGAGCCTCCCCTCGCCCAGCTTTCATAAATCCCTGTCAACCTCCTATCATTGCACTTAGGTGATCCTGTAATTATTAATATTACCTGTGTATGCCTTGGTCTCCCCACCAGACCATGCGATCGTTACCATCCATAAGCAGGGCCCTTGGTTTTCGCCTCTGTGGCGACTCGCACTCTACCAGGGCTCTGGGATGGGTCCCACAGATTCCTGTGCCCTCAATGCTGTATCGCACGTTGGTACTTATGTACGGGCAACACACTCCACCTAGAATGTTAGACTTTTTCCACCTGCAGGCACACTCCCACGCATCAGTCATCTCGTTTGCGCATTTCTCTATGAAGTCTTTCCTGACTCTCCTCAGACACACGCTTTTAAGTCTCCCACATTTGGTACCTATATCCATTGCAGCAACAATTACACCCATACAAATATCTGTTTACAAATCTATCTCCCATCCTACGATGCGTCGTACTTGGGAGGTGCAATGCCCAGGCGTTTTGGTGTTCTCTGTGCGAGGCCGCGCCTGGCACTCAGCAGGTGCTTAATAAATGTGACTTGGGTGAATGAATGGCGACACACGTGCCCCAGGAGGTGCCGTCTCTAAATACGAGCTCTGCACAGCAGATTCTCCTCTAAAGCAAACGAGGGTTTGTTTGCAGGAAGGAAAGCAGAAGGGAGCCGAGGCGGAGGTTTTCAGGGCGCGTGGCGGGCGGGGAGCAGGGGATTTAAACCGCCGGGCGAGCCGACGCCGACGGCCCGAGGAGGGAGGCGAGAGGGCGGGGACTCCCGCGTCCATGGAGGCGGAAGGAGGGCGCGGGGAGGAGCTGTGGCCGGAGGGCCGGCGGGCAGGGCGAGGGGCAGGGGAGGCTCCCGCCCGCTCCCGGCCGGGCCCGCACTCACTCGTCCCCCTGCAGGAGGCTGCGCTCCGTGATGGGCCGCACGGCAGCCCTCGGGGGCTCGGCGCCCGGATCCGAGGGGCGGAAGCACAGGCTCAGCTTCTCCTCCAAGCTGCAGGCCAGCGCCGGGAAGCCGTCGGCACCCCCGCTCGCCCCCGCCCCCGCCCCTGCCTCTGCCCCGGCGTCGGAGCTCGCGTTACAGTTCTCCTGGTCCAGGAGGCTCCGAGCCGGCTCCTGGAACTCATAGAAATCCTGCCAGTCCCCGTCCGCCGCCATCGCCGCCCGGAGCAGTCGCGCGCCCAGCCCGGCCCCGCCCCTACCCGAAGCCCCGCCCCCGCCCGCCACCTTGCGGACGGATCCCAGGCAGTCCCAGCCTCGGCACTCCCCGTGGCCTGAGCCTTGCTGGAGTCGAACGCGGTGCTCCTAGAGAGCAAGACGTTAACTGCTTTGAGTCACTTCCTATATTCTCTATCATTTAAGAATAACTTCCCTCTTAGCTTCCCTCATTAGAAACCTGGCCTAAATGTGGCTAAAATAAAGAACTTTTTTAAACTTGCGACCTAATATCAGATTATGCCCCCAAAGTCGTTTTCCCCAAGGTAACCTGCTCCTTTCATAACTTGCCAACCAGAACAGCCAGAGTCACTGTTTAAGTGGTACCGAAATTCATTCCTCAGATATTTTGGCTCTCACGTGCAAAGCATCTGCTAGATCCTGCAGAGCATACAAAGATAATTATGCCAGTTAATATTTGCAAAGCACTTAGAACAATGCCTAATAGTAGATACCATAGTGTATGTTACAACTAATACATGGGTGCACCATACACAGGGCTTACAATGTCAGAGTGGTAACAGTAATAAGAAATTGTTTATGCCTCACAAAAACTAAGTGTACTTGGGCAGTTCAGTTTTGCAAGACGAAAAGTTATGGAGATGGATGGCTGTGGTGATGGTTCCATTTACCTGTTATGGCATGTCCACGTGTGAGTGAAAATGATTCCACAACAGAGTTAATGTGCTGAATGCCACTGATCTATATACTTACACATGGTTAAGATGGTAATTTTATGTGTATTTTACTACAATACAAAAAAATTGGAGAAGGCCAGGCACGGTGGCTCACTTTGGAAGGCCGAGGCAGACGGATCACTTGAGATCAGGAGTTCAAGACCAGCCTGGCCAACATGGTGTAACCCAATCTCTAATACAAATACAGAATTTAGCCAAACGTGGTGGCACACACCTGTAATCCCAGCTACTAGGGAGGCTGTGGCAGGAGAATCCCTTGAACCTGGGAGGCAAAGGTTGCAGTGAGCCAAGATTGCACCACTGTACTCCAGCCTGGGCAACAGAGCAAGGCTCAGTCAAAGAAAAAATTTTTAAAGGGAGGAAACAGTAAATATTATCATAAGGAAGTATGAATGTGGAGAGGCAATGAATGCTCAGGAGTTGAGAAGAGTGACTTCTTTGGACTGGCATGATCAAATACTTCACTTAGAAGGTGGAGCTAGTTAGGTGATGAAAGACAAGCTCACAGTTTGAAAAATAAATCTGAAGTTAGTAATAGAAAAGAAATTTTTTCTCAGTATGGTTTGTCCATCTCTTGGCAGCATGGAAACCCATTTTCATAAATACATGTTAATACCAACATTTTCTTGTTTACTAGTCCAATAAATGTTGTGTTTTACTTCAGTGATTTGTCCTATATCAAATAAAATAGTTCTGTGGTTAAGCCTAAGATACTGTTGATAATTAAAGGAAATATTGTTCCCTATTTCCTTTGAAAACATAAAGGGAGAGAATGTTGAATCCTAGTTAGCCAAGAGCTAGAACTAATTAGTCAACAGTGAACAACAGTTTTAGGATTGATGTGAAAACATTCTGACTCAGCTACCTGAATGTTACTCAAAAGTGAGGCTCCAAAGTATCAAAGAGCTATTTTTCTCCAGGTGTTTGACTACACACACTAGGTTATGAAGAAACTAGTTGATGCAGACTCTCTAAATTATGTACTTGGCTAAGATAAAATTCATTTACTTTCTTGACTCATATTTCTATTTACCTGTTTTGGTGTGTCCACGTGTAAGTGAAAATGATTGCTCTTAGAGCCCAAATGTAGCATTGTCAAACTTTTCAGATGTTTTTAAATAAACTGCCACTGGTTTAGCTCCAGTGGTATTAGAATTTTATTTTAGTTCAATTTCTTACACAGGATGATTTTTACTTTTAATTAAATATAAATATCCTTTTGGGAAAACAAGATGAAAATCACTTTTCTTGGTCAACTCATATTTGCACACTCATGGTAACCTTGGCACTCAACACTATCCATAAAAATACTCCAAAGAGATGTGTCTTTGAGAAAATACTATATTTCTCCATAGTTTTGCCACTTTATAGGGACAGAGCAATTAGAAAGAAAGTATAGAGTGGAATAAATTGTTAATTGGTACTTTGGTAGATTTGAAATAGTTGTTACTGTAAACACAAAATTGTAACAGCAGAAAAGTTTAAATACTTGTAAATTTAAACCATTTACATGTTTAAATGTTTGTAACCAGGTAAAATTACAAAAGTAGCAATATTTCTCTTCAATGCCTTCCACACACCTCTCTTCCCACGTGTATGTGGGGACCTCAGGTTGCTCCCCAGCCTTCCAGATCATCATATAGGAGGAGAGACCATGTTCCACCCAGGTTGTGGCCCCATTGCCCTGTCCCCACCCTTTCCTTTAGTTTCTTTGGTACTTGGCCCAGACTTCGTTTTTTAAGAGAATCCGGCTTCAAGTGACTGTTCTATAAACCCCTTCACTTCATAATTCCTGATAGCAAACTTAGCTCATTTCCTAGCAACTCTCATACCCATCAGCCAAATTCTGGCCTCCTACACTGCCACAAATCTGGAAAAACCACAGGCTTCCTGCCAGCCTCACCTGTTTTGATCAGTCCATCAATACCCAAAAGCCTCCAATTAAGAAGAGGTTCTTTCACTTTGCTATATCTCACATAACCTGCTTCTACTAATTTGTCCTCCAAAATCTATTTATTTTGGACCTTTTATTTCCTACCATCTCCTGCAGGCCATAAGAAAATGAGCATGTGTAAACATGCTTGCTCACTTGATATATTAAGAAAAATTAGCCTATTGAATTAGTTTTCAGCCCTTGATTCAAAATTAGAAAGAGAATATAGAAAAACTTTTAGAGAGCTTCATAGCACTTGAGTATTACATTCATATTAATCATTTATGATAGAAAAGGTTACTTTTTTGGTTTGACAATGTACATAAATCTTGCACATGTGTAATATATCACAGTGGAAATTTATATAACAAAAAATTTAAAAGTCTATTATTCAACATATAGGCCACTTGTCTTTGTCCATTTTGCGTCGCTATCACAGAATACCACAGACTGAGTAACTTATAAAGAAACTTATTTCTCACAGTTCTGGAGGCTAAGAAGTCCAAGATTATGCTGCTGACATCTGGTGAGGGCTTTCATGTTGTGTCATCTCAAGGCAGAAGGTGGAATGGCAAGAGAGTGTGAGAGAGCAGGGAAGGAAGGAAGGTCAGACTGATCCGTTTATCAGAAGTCTACTCCTGCCACAACTAACCCACTTCTGAGATAATGCTGTTGATTCATTCATGAGGGCATTGTCCTCATGATCCAAACACCTCTCAAATGTCCCTCTCTCAAAAATGTTGCATTGGGGATGAAGTTTCCAACACATAAACTTTAGGGGACACATTCAAACCATAGCACCACCTAAAAGTATAATCGGTCAGAAAATATAAGAACTGCAAAAGAAAGAAAGAAACTGTTGAATACAAAACCAAAAAATATCTGGTTGTTAAAGTATCATACTTAGCAAAGGCCAGAGGGATTCTAAAGCAATAGTAGAATAACGAGAAGGTATATAAATGAAGGTTTCTTGAGAAAAGCTAATGTAATTGCTGAATCATTTATAGCTGGAAGGGAAAAAAAAACAGCTGATGAAACAAAAATAAAAATAATTTAGAAATCTCTATGGTGACCGAAGAATTTAAGGAAAGGTTGCTAAGCCTGATAAAAAGGAAAGAGTAGCTTCCTTCACTTTTTCTCCAGGAAAAAAAAAACAAAACTGACTTAACCAGACATTCAGGGTAGTGACATGTGACTGTAGTCCAAATTACTTGGGAGGCTGAGGCAGGAGGATCACTTGAGCCCAGGAGTTCATTACAGTGAGCTATGATGGCACCACTGCACTTCAGCCTGGGTGGCAGAGCAAGACCCTGTCTCTTTTTTCTTTTTTTAATTTTTCTTTATTTTTATTTATTTATTTATTTATTTATTTATTTTTGAGATGGTATCTTGCTCTGTAACCCAGGCTGAAGTGCACTGGCATGATCTCAGCTCATTGCAACCTCCACCTCTCGGGTTCAAGCACTTCTGCCTCAGCCTCCTAAGTAGCTGGGATTACAGATGCACGCCACCTTGCCCAGCTAATTTTTGTATTTTTAATAGAGACAGGGTTTCACCATGTTGGTCAGGCTGGTCTCGAACTCCTGACCTCGTAATCCGCCTGCCTCAGCCTCCCAAAGTGCTGGGATTACCAGTGAGCCACCACGCCCCACCAACCCTGTCTCTTAAAAATCAAAAATCAAGAAACTGTTGAGGAGACAAAGGCCACAATCTAGAATTTATTAATAAAGAATATTTTATTCCAGTTCATTCAGTTCAATAGGGATAAATCTTTAGTGAACAGCCCTTGTATTTTAATGATTAAGACAGCGTCCTGATCAGGCAGAACCACCTTGAGCAGATGCAGTAGTAGGCTCCAAGAGAAGGAACCCAGGTGACTGGTCACGGCTGCACCTTTAAAAGGCACCACCATTGCTGGGTAGGGAAGACACCGCCAAGTACATGCCTGCTTGTGTTCTGGGTAATCAAATGCTTGTGTCTTAAAAATAAATTGAAACAATCTTTGGCAGTAGTCATTTATCTGACATTATAATTTGTTCAACATTCCTTCTATTTTGCCTCTTAATTAAATCTGTATTTTACACTATAGTTGTATAAATTAACTTCACTGGAAAGTAAAACAAAATTAATAAAATAGACTTGTCATGGGTGGACTTGAGTTTTCAGAGAGGCGTTTGAGGCACTAGTTTGAGAAGAAAAAAAGAATCAATGGAAATGGGAAATATTTCTCTGGCTCGTACAGGGAAAAAAAAGATGAAGAAAAGAGAAAAAGTTGTGAACCTTCAAGAAAACAGAAATAAGTCCACTTCCCACTAACTGGGAGAAAATGAGTAAGAAAAAAAAGGTAGAAAAAGGTTATATTGAG